CCAGATTCTTGTCTAAATACGTGTCTATTTCTCCTTTTTTCTCATTCTCTTTTTCCTTCTTTCTCTCCCCCTCTCTCTGTTTAGGAAGGGAATTATCATGGTTGTTTTGGCAACTAGTACCCATTTTCTTCGGTCTGATAACAGCACCATGATATTTTTTTCCAGGAATTATACTCCTTCCAAAAGATACAATTTGACAGAACCTGCATTGAGGATTCCCACCTTACCCTGGCCAAGAAGCAGCTATCTGACCCAAGAGAGGCCAGTTAGATAACCTTCCTATAAAATCCAGGTCTTGAGAAGACGAGCATAAAAGAGAAAAATGGCTGGGATTTATTTTTCTTATGTCAGCACCCTTAAGGAACCTTTCTGTACTTTCTACTACTTAAATCTGAGCATCTCTTATTTCAGCACTTCCCAAAAACTAGTTTTGTAATTTTCCCTTTGATTTTGTAAGTACGTTAAAATTTTACAATATAATATTTTGCTCAGATTAAAGTTAGTTTCTGTTTCCTGTAACCAAGGAGCCCTAACAGATACAACTTTTTAACTCAATTATTTTTAAGTCTTAAGATTTGCCACCTAATCTTCCTGAAAAGCCATAAATATAATGTGCAAAAGCAGAGCAATCCCTTTGCTTTATAGTGTCTTAGGCATATTTCTGGGGCCTGGGGTGGGATATAGACACTTTTGCATCCTGCTCTTCCTTGGCTTTCCTGATGAGAAAACAGCAGATTATTGACAAGTCAAGATAACTATTTGCTAACCTTCTGCCCACCAAGAAAGACCTGAGAACATCTCAAGGATCACAGGGCAAAACCAGGTACATGGGCACCAACTCGGTTTGACTGTAGAAAAGTATGTCTGTGTCATTTCCAGTCCCAGAACCCTCTGGTTTTATAAGTTGGGGTTCCAAGTCCCCCCTAAATTTTCAGGGGGGACTTGGAGCCCCAACTTATAAAATTTATTCACTATTATTGAGCAGTCATTACCTATGAAGCACTGAATTGAAAACTCTACACAATTTATCTCATTCCGGCCATACAGTAACCATAGATAGTTAGCACCATAATTATTCCTATTTCACAGATGAAAAGATCGAGGTTTAGAAAGGATAAGACTTTGTCTAAGATCAAGATCTAATGAAAGACTAAGCCGGGATCAAACTAGGGTCGTTTTTATTTCACAGTCAACACTTTTAATCACTTTGACATCCTACCTTTTGTGGACACGGTTCTGCTTCTGTGCCAGAAGTCAGAGTCCACCTGGTTAATATACAGTGCAAAACCAAAAAGGCTTCCATTATATTTCATGCCAGAAACAATCACCCAAGTAGTTAGGCATCAAAGTGAACTACCTTGAATTTATCAATTGCCTTTTATCCTCTACCTGCCACTTGAGACTTTGCTGTCCTCTGCGTATTGACAAACCCTATCTTACCTGGAGCAGGAATGTTTTTCAGTTTAAAACAAAAACAGGAAGACCATTATTCCTCCCGAGCTAAGAGCACTCAAGAGCTTTGCCAAAGTTGTAACTCCCCCAGGGCTCACTGCAGTTGATACAGAGCTCCAGGAACCTCCAACTTTGCACTTTGCAAGCGGTTCCTACTCAACAGATAAAAGGGAGAGACAGACACCCCAAAGTTAAATTTTAAATACCCTCTCACAGAGCCTTTCAGGTATAAAGATCACCTTAAAGACTAAAAGAATAGAATGGAAAGCATCTATATGTTACACATTCACTCAAAAAAGATTTTGCTACACAAGTTAATTAGTAGTTTCATACAAATGTCCATTTCTTTACTGTAATATACATACCTTGATTATGTAGGATGTTAATATTAGAGGAAGCTGGGCAAAGAATATGTCTTTGCATCTCTTCTATAAATGTAAATCTTTGCATCTCTTCTATAAATGTAAATCTATGTCCAAAATAAAAGGCTTTCAAAAATGTAGTGACATGCTAGGTAAGAGTCCCTACAGTATGCTCCTAAAGAATGACTGTAAGAACAGCATTACTGATGGAATGCTGTCGAAGTGAGAATTGAGTCATTTTCATCAACAATGTATCATTGGTAGCAACAGCACAGAGTTCCCCTAATCCAAAGCCATGGGAATAACACATCTTGCAAACCAAGGATTTAATAAGAGCTGAGCAAAAAAGAGAGTTTGTTCATAATGCTTCACATCTGGGCCATAAATATACCTTCTATATAAAATACTGCAGTAAACAGTATTGGCAGCAGGAGGTGAGGCAGGTATAGGGTGTGAGGAATGAAGTAAAAGAGAGAATATATGAATGCAATGAACTTGAAGGAAACAAATACTCGTTTTTATTTGGCATCTAGGATCAAATCGAGGAAGAATTTCCACATTTATATAAGTAACTTTATAATATAAAAGGAATAACACACTGGGACACAGGTCCTAGACACAAGAAAGTGTTTTTTTAACTTTTCCAAAGGAAGTTTCAGAAACACCCATCCAAGAGTTACTTGTTATAACCAAAGCATTTCAGAAGAATTTTAAAAAGCAATGAAAGGACAGAATACTTAGAGCCCACAGAAAACTTTCTAAGAAAGTTCTGAGGATGATCAAATCCAGAATCAAGAGCACTTTCAAGAATTTGAAGGCCTTTTACTTAAGGACCATGATCATTTAATCTTCTTTGCTAAGACCAAAAGAAAAGAGATTTATCCAGTTTAGAGGACCTCTTTGCAGACATGAGGAAGGTGGTCTTAAAATAATGGGTGAGGAAATATCTCACCAGGTCACCAAAGGTGATTACAATATTGTCTTTAGATGTCATTGCAAAGAGAAGAGGCTGCTTTTGCAAGGGTTTAATATAAACCTGCCTTAAAGCACAGAGGAAGAATAGATGGTCTATTTTGGGTCTGTTTCCTCCTGAATTCATGGAATCAAAGCATATATAATATGCAGCTGCTTTAATATTTCTTTGAAGAGTATTTGCTAGAGAGGAATCAGGAAACATTATTCTAGGACAGAAAGCACCAGTCACATCATGAAACTCAGGCGTAAAAAATCCCTTGAATGATCCAGTTTTCTAACCTTTCTTCTTATTTCATAGACTTTCTGAGGACATATGACCCACGAACCTGCAATTTAGGAGACAAGCTGACCTGGAACTAAGCTCTGATTTCTTTTCCAATAAGACAACTGAGATAAATTCATATGAGAATAAATCATGGCCCTAAACCAGAATCTTAAAAAAAAAAAAAATGCCGTTAGTCCCTGACACCTAATTTCAAGGGGCATATCCAGTCACATCCTATTTATAATACCCTTAAGGTAAAGTTAATCATTCTGTTTTTGAAATTTGTATTTTATTGCTCTTACGAATGAGAAAAAAACATAATCACCTGGTACACTGTGTTTGTACATTATTGTTTGAAAACCATACTGTGATAAACTCCTCCACCTCACCCCAAACAGCTTGGTAAAACCCCATTTCACTTTATACCAGTTTGTCCTTCCATTTATATTTTAATAGAATAATTTGGTCAGACAGCCAAAGGACTCCCCACTAATGAAATAAGGATTTGCTAAGAAAAATCAATTTGTAAGTTGCCTTAGCATCCGTCAAAGACAAAAACAGTTATGAAAGTCTGAAACACAGCAACCATCCTCAGACTCGAAAGAACCAGTAGGACAGTATGTATTAGAGTCAAGCAAAGGGTTAACACAGCTGATTTGTAGGTTAAGAGAAGGATGCAACATAATGTTTTAAGACAAACATCTGGAGGGAAAAAAAGTAGTATTTTGTTTCCACCTCAAGAAATTGCAGACAAACATGAAGCGAATCACTTCACCAGAATACTCAATTATCTGAACGTGCTAATTAACTAAATGTAATCAACCTGCTTTCAGTCCTCTCTTCACCTGCTGTAGTGTTCTAGTGCATTGCCTTCCTTATTCCTCACAACCGGTAAAATATTAGACAGTCTGCGTGGTGCATCAAAGGGAAACAAATAAGCACACATTTTTGCTGACGGCAGGAATTTCTCATGCTCAGGGCATATGAATCAACAATATGGAAATGACAGCACTGGTTGTATATTTTAATTATTCTCCACACCTATTTTGCAAAAGAGACTTAAAGTTCAATTAGGTAATATGATGCTCAGTTATGGTTATTTCATAAAACTGAGCACAGACAGTCATTTAAAGTAGTAAATATGCAGTCATGACAGAATTAAATATTCATGAAATCAAGAGCGACTGGAAAGCTGAGGATATCGGAATATTAAAATTCATCATAGTTTTCACAATGTAAATCTTGTATGCATTTGTAAGGCACCCCGGTCGCATCTAAAGTGTGTTCAAATTCTAGTTCCTTGGTAAACTGCCATTTAAATAACAATATTTATTTTGGAAGATAAACAACAATTTTGATTCTTAGCTCCGTTTCAAAATGCAAAACAATTCCGAACATTTGCAAATCTGAACTTGTTAAGTGAGCCTGTCTCCAAACACTGAACAGCAATTCAATGTGATCCTGACACATTTCCAGCATTTGTTTAATCCACTAGTGTCTTAGGAAAGCTCTAACAGAAACCAAGGCAATCTCCAAGAAGGGGCACTTTATGACACACAATTCTGTTCTAACTAGAAGTGCCCATTTTCCTGCACACTTCTTTAAGTGAGCAAAAGTGAGAAAGTAGACTGACTCATTTGGTTCCAATATTCTGATTTGTTGAACCAACTTTTCCCCAATATTACCAGCCAGTTTCAAAATATACTAACAAATATACAGTGTACACTTTATGCAGATAAAACAAAGCAACATTAGCTTCCACAAAACTAAACTCAGAGTGTGTGAAGGAAGACTACCCAGAGACAAAGCTGTAATAAACACACCCTCCTGATACTACCAAGGCAGTATTTTCTCTGCCATTTCCTCTACTTTACAATTTTCTCAGCAGAAGAGACATCAGCACCAGAAAATAACATTCAAGCCATTTCTTATTAGAATCCAATTACCTGAAGAACTCCTCTTTCCACAGCAAGTAGCAGGTATCCCCTGGTCTACAATGACACAGCAGGGCTGCAAAAGATTTGTAGGGCTCATCTGCTGCCAGCCTCTTGATCCCTGCCCTCCTAGAAGGAGGATACCAGGTCAGGAGGAGGACCTCCAGCTTAGAGCAGGGTTAAGCAAGGCACTCCGTTCTGCAAATGAGCCAAACTTTGCTCCCATTATCATCTTTAGGTTGATGTCACCTCCCTCCAAGGAGTCTCAGAAGCCACTTGGCAGCTCCTAAAGATAGGTTTTCCCGGTCCTATATCATCCAAATAAGCCTCAGTTACACGGCGAGGGCAAGCAAAGGTCTCAACACTGCTCTGCTGAGGTGCTGTGCTCGCCCAGAGCATCACACCGCCTGTACCAGAAGACTTTTCTCTGCACACACCGCTGAGCACTGAAACCAGGACAGACTTCTGCACATATCCTCCAGTTCGGAAAGTCACTGGCACCCATGGATTCCCTTAATCTTAAACCTTCTTCACATCTGCCACCCCCACCCCCACACAAACGAGGGAAGGGGGTTGGGGAGCGGAGGGGTTAAAGTGACAGCCACGACAGCAACTCCTTGGTTTTGTTCAAAAGGTATCACAGCGCCAACACTGTGGACCTACCTTGCTCTCTCCTTTCTCGCCGTTGGGTCTCGTCTCGGGATCGTCGCTGTCCTCAGCTCCGGCACTCTCGCCGGGCAGTTCATCCTGAGCCAGCGGCTGCGGCGGCGGCTGGGGCTGGGGCGGCTGTGGCGGCGCCTGGCAGGCTCCGCCAACCCCCTGGGAGCGGGGGATGGGCTCCGGGCGCGGAGAAACTCCCTCAACATCCATCTCCATCTTCCCATTCACTGGAGGGCAAGACAAAAGCGGAGCGGAGACTTGGCAGCGGCGCCCGGCAGCTCCTCAGCTGCCCGTGGCACGCATGGCTCGCCGAGGAGGGGCCGCCTCCCGCGCGCCCTCCCTCCTGCCACCCTTCGCCCGCGCTCCCCGCGGCTCCGCTCGCCTGCTCGGCTCCGGCACTGGCGGCGTCTGGGCCGGGAAGCGCGAGGAGCGGGTGGCCGCGTGTCCTTGGAGCGCTGGCCTTCAGGCGCCCCCGGCAGTCCCGCTAAGCAGAGCGCATCCCGGCGGCGGCGGCGCCTCCCAGCGCGCTCCCAGCCTCAGGGCCGCTCGAGGACTTGCTCTTCAGCCTGGCCCACGCTCCTCGCCGCTTTCCAGCGTCTCTTGGGGCCCCTCGGCGTTTCCCCTCCCTACCAACCTTCTGAACAAAGTTGCTGGAAGAACAAACCTGATCGCCGGGATGTGCCCGGCCAAACTGGCAAGAATAGGGACTGTCAGGTGTAAGTGAAATCTACCGTCCCCGCCCGCTGACCAAGCGCCGACCCTCAGCCTTACCCCCTCCCCAACGCAAAGGAGCGGAGGAAAGGAGGGGTCTCCGACCTGGGCGAGGTGGCGGCGGGAGGACTAGAAAGAGGAGCGTGCGGAGGGCTGGCGCGTCCACCCCCAACCCCAGTGACCCTCGCCTCCGCGCTGGCCCTGGTCCCCTCCCTCCCGAGGCCGCGCGCGCCTCCGGGGTCAGTCCCTTCGGGCTGTGCGTGTGTGTGTCCCAGAGCTCCGCTCCGGGGTCTGCTCTGCTGCTGGTGGCTCCGCGCCGCACAGCCCTGCACTAAAGAACTGGAGTAGACAAGGAGAAGCCAACGGCAAATTCTGGGCAGGAATCGACCTACCCTTGCCTCTGGCCAGGTCGCAGGTTAGAACCGGGAAGGGGTGGGGCCCCTCGGGGACCGCGAGGACGCGAGTCTCGCGGCGCGCCGGAGTTTGGCGTAAAGGTCGGCAGCAGAGGGTCGATGGGGTAGGAGGAGTGAGAAGCGAGAAGTCGCTGCCAGGCATTTACTGCAATGTGCCCGGGGCGGGCGCCAGCTGGGCGCCGTCTCTTTTTGGTGGTGAGTTCCGTGCTGGAAGAGCGACCTCAGCAGAGCAGGGCTCCACCAGGAAGCTTCGGTGGTGACCCCAGGGCGAGCGGTGCGCTGCGTCTACAATTTAGACAGAGATGGCGAGGGTAGACTTGGAAGTTCTTAAATCGGGGTTCACCGTTAGTCAAGTGATCAGGATGACTTCTCAATTTAACAGCACTTAATGCTGGGTAGTAGCTTACAACTTCACGGGAACTGCTACCGCAACTCTGCAGGTTCAGGAGGGACCTTCAAGCAGCTATGGAGATAAATGGCGGGTTATCAAGAACCTGTTCAATATTAAATACAGCCCATTGTTCTGGGCCTTGAGTTCCCTAATGCTCCCAAATGGATCAGCAGATTAATGAACTATTCATGCATTTCTTAGCAGATGATGGCTTTTTTTTCCCTAACATGTATCACAGATCACACTTGCTTGAAGAAACTGGAAAATTGCATTGCTCATCCCGTGAATGCTTTCCATTAACTTTAAACACAACTTTTACATATCAAGACATACTGCCCTTTAGATGCAGTTACACAAGAACACATCATTAGGTTGTATTCCTCAATGCTATCTCTTAATCTGACGCTGCATGTGTGACAGAAATTAATTGCCACTTTCCTCAGTGTAGACAACCAATCTGAATAATGCAATGTGAACAAGCTTTTGAAAAAGAAGAAAAAGTTTAGGGACCAAATTACCCATTCTCTTTTCCTTAAAATTTTCTAAAAATTAGATTTCCAGTTCATTTTCTAAATTGGGAACTTGTTAAAAATAGAGTAACCTCCTCCCCAGTACCTGGTAATAAACCAACAACCATTATAGAATATTTAAAATGATCAATTAGATTTTATGTGTAATGTACTTAGCAGAGTGTCTTAGTGCATAGTGAGCACCTAACATTGTTATATTGAGAACAGTAAGATAATATACATTCACAGTGCGCATTCACCTGAAGACCTTGATTTACAAAAAAGAAACTACCAGTTTAAATCGCCTTTATTTAAATTTCCTACAAGATATTTGGTATCTTTAGAGAATGAAACCCCTTCTGAAGACAGGAAGAAAGTCAATAGTATTTTGTGCAATAAAGGTTTGAATTTGTCAGGTTTTTTTTTTTCTACAGTGTAGAAATAAAAATCAGTCGGTTCAGACAGCAGCAGGAATAGCTGACTGGTAAGTTATTATGCTTCCATGCTTGCTACTTCCAAAATATGTTTGTGAACTTCTTTCAAGCTTTAAATGAAGATTAAATCAAAATAAATATACAATACTTCAATTTAATTTGTTCTAAATTTAGACATGTCCTTTTAAACGTTCTTATTGTTAAATGCAAATATTTCTCTTTTCTTCTGCCCCTCTATTTTTGGGGGACATAGTTTTTTTTAAGCATCTGTCACAAGTAAATATGGACTCGGAAAATATATTACATTTCAAAACTGTTGATTGCACCTAATTATGCATGTAAATTGCTACTTCAAGCATCCAGACAGCTTGCAACATTTTGAAAATTTTGCCCTACTAGTCATCTGAGGTATTTGTGTTACTATTTTGCAATTGCCTCAAATGACTCTTCATTTCCCAATTAACTTTCCATGAGTGATAGGTCTATGAATAATTTTGACCGTTGGCTTTCTCTTCTCAGGTGATTTAAATTAGTAAATCAGCACTTTTAGCAACATCACCCTTCTTCCTATTTATACCAGACCTCTTGATTTTTTGAGTTCCTGAGACGGTAGTTTACAAAAAGGTATCCTGGGAGAGTAGTCACTCTAACTCCTTGCTACTGAGTATGATCCACAAACCAGCAGCTTCCCAGCATCTGGGAGTTTGTTAGAAATGCAGTCTTGGGCCCTCCCCTAGACCTACTGAATCAGAATCTACTTCGAACAAGTGATTCCTACCACATTTAAGTTTAAGACCCAGTGCTTGGCACATCATATGGTTGGTCTTTCTACATTATAATCATCTATGAGCACTCAATATTTCCCTAAAATACTACCAAGAAAGGCTAATTAGGAAAACACAATTTAACAACTTTTTTTTTAAGACATTATATTCCCCACCACCTCTCATCCTCCAGGATCTTAGTGTGGCATAATGAAAACTTTCATAAATTAAGAATTTATCTGTATTGTATCTCTGGTAATAAATTAAATGCATACAGTTTTCTGAAATCAAAAGGCATTAACCTAAAAAGCACTTTATCTTGAATAATAAGCTTTATGCAAATATGCGGAACTACTTCCCTAAAAACTTGGTTATTCTTGAACTTCTTTCTACTTGAGACTTAAAAGTCCACAGTTTTTTTTCTGCTGGGATTACTAATTCCTTGTGTTGCAAAGCAAACAGAAACCAAGTGCTTGTCTGTGCAGTGGCAATCTAGTAAAGCTACAATAATTTGGAGTGAGTTTGGACCAAATTATGTGCCACAATATTTTTAGGAACTATCAAAAATAATTATAAGAATTTCTTTAAATGACACAGATCGATAAATTGTTACTTTAAAAGGCTATCTACTATAGTACTTTTCACCTTTAATGTATATGAAGTCACCCGGAAAATGCTGTTAAATGCAGATTATGATTCAGTAGGACTGGGTTTGGGCCTGAGACTACATTTCCAACAAACATCCAGGTAAAGCTAGTGCTTCTGGTCCTCAGACCTAATGGGTTTGCTTTATTACCATTAATGTTTCTCAAGTTTAATCATGTGGGAAACTTTTGAAAATCTTCAATGCACAGACTACTAGGCCCCAGAAAAATTAAATCAGAATATTTGCAGCTGGGATCTAAGGACAAGTAGCCTTTAAGCCTCTCCAGGTGATTACAATGTGTAGCCAAGACTGATAAACAGTGCTGTAAGTCAGTGAGTGATTCTCCAAGTGTGAGCCCCAAACCAGCAGCAATAGTACCTGGGAATTTTTTGGAAATGTACACTTTAGTGTCCATCCCACACCTATCAAATCAGAAACTCTAGAGGTGAGATCCAGCAATCCATGTTTTAACAAGGCATGATTTTGAAGCATGCTCAAGTTTGAGATCCACTGCTATGATCAAAGATTCTCTGTGACTGCATGTGAGAATCACCTGGGGAGTGTTCAAAAAACACTGATTTCCTCCCCCACGATCAATTAAATTATAATATCTGAGGGTGAAATCTAACATGTTAATGTTTAAAAGTTCCCCCAGGTGATTCCAATTGTGCAGACAAGGTTGAAAAGGATGTCTATAGACTGAATTTTTATGTATGCAAATCAGTGTTTCCATGGAGCAGCAGTTGCTTCTATGTTAGTTTAAAAATTTTTTTTTCTTCCTTAATCTGCAAAAATTGAATACCTAGAAAGGTAGAGTACTATCTCAATTATCATAGATTCAAATTAGTGTATTCAGTATTTTCCAGTGAGCCATTTTTTCTTCTTGGTAACATGACAGCAGCTTCTGCTTTCTTCAGAAGGACTCTGATGTGAAATGATTCAGTTTTAAGTGGCTGTGAGGTGTACCCTGGCACCAGCCTTCAGTGATTAAAGATTCCTGTGTCAGATTGGTTAACTATCTTCAGGGATGTTGCTGTAAATTAAGTCAATGCTATTAAGGACTTTAGCACGTTGCTACCCTAAGTGCAATTCACAGATCATCACCTGGGTGCCCATCAGTATCACCGAGGAGCTGTTTATTAATGCTGACTTTCAGGTCCCACCCCAGACTACTGAATCAGTGTCTGCACGTTAGGATCCCCATGTGATATGTATGAACATTTAAAGTTTAAGGAGCACAACTATAGTGTATCCCCCCGTGATATGCAAAGGTAGTATTTAACCAGCCACTTAATCCTAACTTTTACATCTCTTGGTTCTTAATGGATGTACATCCATTCTGAGAACCTTGCAGGACTCTTGTGGGTAACCTTCCAATTGTAGAGGAATCTACAAGCATCCTTTCCTTTACTTTAACCATTCTGGGCTTAGCTCCACTGTCCAGAAGAACTTTCTGCAATGATAGCAATGGTCTTTATCTGTGCTCTTCAATAAGTAGCCACCAGCCACATATGGCTGTTGAACAAATGAATTGGCTAATGTGACTGAGAAGCTGAATTTTAATTTTGTTTCACTTTAAATTATTTTAAATTTAAATGGCCTTATGAGGTTATTGCCTCCACTATTGAACAGCACAGCTCAAGAGTAATCATCTTTCCTCTTGTTCAACCCTTATTCGTGATTCCAGGTTGCACACCAGCCCCTCCTTCTCAGCTTTTGTATGTATTAATCCCCAGTGAATGCACCAGGAAGAAAAACATCTGCCTTGCCACCTCATTTACATAATAAGTAACATTATGCTTATTATTTTGAATGAGAGGAGTTTAACTTGAATTAAATGCCAACAAAAGTTGTCAAAACCTTTTTCATAGTATTCATAATTGCCTAGCTTTAATTTTACAGCCTTTTCAAATATCAGCAGACATAGAATGCATTTGGAAACTGCTTTAAGAAAAAGAGACAAAAGACTGCAAATGGATTCCAAGTACAGGATACATAAAGACATGCCCCCCCCTCACCCACCCCAAGCATCTTGTTGGTATATAATGGAAAGTTGATTACATTGAGTGAATCTATGTTGAAAGTAAATATCAAAACTTGCAGATTACTCTAAAAATGGAAGGTGAAATGCAAAACAAAAAAGAGATCAGGAGCTAACAGTACCAGAAGATAGCAAATGAATTTCAAAATAGAAATGTACTCAACACTTAGTCTGAATATGAAATATCTATGGAACCAACGGAATGTGATGGGATGGGATGGGGTGAGATGAGAGGAGAGGGGATAAAACAAAAACACTCATGATTTGAAAACAGCAGCCAGCCCCCTTGAGCTTTGTCTTCTCTGGGATAAGAATAACAACAACAACCACATTTATAATTGCACTGCCTATCATTGCTTAAGTGTGCTCTGTACATTATCCTCTATAATCCTTTCAATAACTATAAGGTGGGTGTGATCAGGAAAAAAAATTATTCTGGCGATTTGGATTATTATTTTATTTGGATTATTATTTTAACACACCTCAGAAAGGCAGAATAAAAATAAGCAAATC